AAGCAATTTTTATTGTGCACATTAAAAAAATTTTAGGGGCGCTGCAGCGCACCAGAATCTAAGTGTAATGTGCGGCCCGCCCATAGTTTTTATACTGAATTTTAGACACTGGTTTATATACAATTTGGGGTTTAATAAAAAGAACTACTCTAAAATGATATCAGTAAAAGAAAACATCGCGATAGTTTGCGATATATAACTATCGCAATATAACGATATATCGCATGTCGCGTACATGATACATTATCCTCTTCACAGTAGTGATCGACCCGGATGACCCGGTAGGAATTTATTTTGCTCCAATCACTAGATCCGATCCATCTTTAGTATTCATGAATATTCGTGAATACCCTGATCGTAACCTTTTTTCAAAGATTTAAGGTGCAAGGAATAAAAATAATACCGAATTATTATTTGAAGCTATATTAATAAAATCATTTAAGATTTGAAATTTTGTATTTAATCAGTGTAAATTTAATTTAAAACCAACGTGAATTGTGGATTGAGTTGATAAAAATATAAAACGATTATACTTTTCCTCGAAATCTTTATTATTATTATTATTATTTTATACTATAGAAAAATATTAATCGTAGAATCTAAATTAAATTAATTATCTAACAAGTCTAATTATATTAGCAAACACTAATTAAAAATTAAAATAAATAATGAGCTTTATTAAGTCTTTAAAATATAAGTAAATTATTAAGAAAAATGGTAGCCAACTTCTGAATATAATTTTTTTAGCCATTTTTAATATATATATATTTCTATTTTAATCCTTTTATATTTTAAGGTCGTAAGGTAAATCTTTAATTAATTCTTTCCAATCTTTGGGTGAGTTTAATTTTCTAACTTCATCCGGTTGAGTGACGAATTGTGCTACTAATCCCGTTTCTACATGCCACTATGAACGTATATAAAATGTTAAAACCAAATATACATATAATAAAAATTAAGAGAAATTTATAATTATGTAATTACCTCAATATGACAATGGAATCCCCATACACCATGATTATCTGATACAAACCGAAGAATTACCCATCTGATAAAATAAAATTATTATCAAATTAAAATCCAGACGATACCCCCCCAAAAAAGCCAAACTTTAACAAACCCGTTAGCAGGAACAGTTGAAGTATCACGTTGTATCGGATCTTTTGTATTTATTTTACTATAATCCGGTTGCGTACTATTTTCTCCCGTACCGAGTACCCAGAATACGTGACCATGCTAAAATATTAATTTCAAATTAGAGAAATTATTATTTATTAATTGACAATTGTATTTTTCAGGAATGCATACCAAATGGAATGGATGTTCACCACCATCTAAATCTAATTAATTAAAAATAATAATATTTAATT